GAATGGAGGGAGGCAGAGTTAGCAATAACTTTGCCTATTGCCTAAGCAAACGCGGAGAAAACAAGGATACAATCGGACAAGCAAAAAGGAGACGCCTAGATCAAGGATCTAACATTAACCAGAGCAAAAGGGATCGCAAAGAAGAAGAGGATGAGGGCGTTTAGGAAATAAAGCAAATACGTTCCCAGTGAGTCTAGTCTGCCCGAAGAAACAACTACAACTTTGTCGGCCTGACGGTTCTGTGATTAGGGCGAAGAATAGTCACGATCGTCACAGGAATTCGGCTTTATGGCCAAATTGATTAGAAATCCACTCGATGTTTAGCTAGCGAACAGATATAGGTCTTCCTATTTTGCTCAGTATACATGGGTTGAATAAAGGAGATGAGCCGTGGAGCCAATGCCTTTTTCTCTGCAATCATAGGAATCCTCGCACATTGAGGCCACAGTGTGCATGATACTAAAGGCTTTAAAAATAGCCGGAATAAGAGGGTAAAGAGTAGATAGATAGGCCAGGACAGAAAGAGGAGGGATAGTGTAACCGTTTTCGGCAGAACGGTTGTCGAGGCATTGGCTTCACTTGTTTCTTTGACGAGTTCGTAGCTTGGTGCGGCGAATGGCAAAACTAACTGATGATGCCGACTATGAAGCTGGCGAAACGTTTGAGAATGTATCATGTCCACTGTCAGATGCTGGGAATCATGACAACTACTATGGCAGACGACTTCGGACTAAGTGCGCTCTACATAGTCACCATGACAACAAGACCAAGTTGCGACAACGAGGTCAACCAACTTCTTTAAAAATAGAGCTTGGAGGAACGTGCATAGTGGGATTGTAGCGAAGTGGAATCAGGCAACTAGAAATGTAAGAAAGGGGCCAATGAGTTAGATTCGGATCGCATGTCCAAGTTTGATTAGCAAATGGAGAGTGAGAGGTGCAGGGTAAGCAGCAGGTATGATGATGCCACACTAAACTCGCCAAAAAGTGCACGTCATGAGGAGTCAAATATGAACAAATCAAATGTTGGGATAGGGCGTGATTGAGATAAGAGGGTAGGGAGTAGATAGATGGACGGGGGCAAAAGAAGAGTGAGAAGACAACCATTTGGCATAAAGTTGGTCAAGGGATGGAGTTGTCTCTTTGACGATTGGAAGCTTGATGGTGAGAATGGCATTACCCACTGACGATGCCGACTACGATGCCTGCAATGCGTCTAAAAATGTACATAATCCATCATCCAAATCTGGCAAATATAGTACTACTATAGTACTACTACTATAGTAGGGGACCTCAGACAGGATTTGCTCAACTAGGTCGTTTTGAAAAGACGTTTAACCTGCGAAATGAGGTCAGATCACTTCGATATATCTAAAATAGTCTGCGTCCAAAAAATTGGCCACAAAATCTTGGTTTTAATATCTGCTTAGTCTTGAATTTCGAATTTAGCTTTTTATTAATGTCCATTTTTATAAAAAATATTTAAATATATATAAAAAATATTATTACACATATATATAACCTTTATGATGCATATTTACAGTTTAAATTTATAAATTTACATAGTTTACTTCGGTATAAAAATTGATACACTTTGCCTACTCATAATATTTGCCACAAATTTCTGAAGAAGTTTATCATGGATCGGTTACAACGGAAACAGGGGTAGATTTGTTTGCATTATCGTTCTCTTATGGTGAATTGTGTAGAGAGTCTTCGAGTAACTTTAATAATCCTATTATTGGTGAACATCACTACATAGAGTCTTGATAAGATTTTATTTAGTAATAAGGCAAATTGCAGCCAACTATTGTTACCGGTGAAGATAAGAATATGTACCTATTCCTATAACCAGCAACTTGATTACTAACAAAAGTATCCTGATTTTTATATCCCGGTATATTTTAACGAATTAGAAATTCGTCTCTATGATACTTTTGTAAGAGCCTTGAATATTTTAAGGCAGTAGAATCAAATGATAAAATTAGTATTCTCAGAACGATTGGTGACTTAGATGATTTTAGATCTGGAATTGGGCATTGAATAAATGATCATTTTTGTCTAAGATGAGTGAGAAAAATGTAGTTGAACGATATCTCAACAGTGATGCTTCATTCCAGATTAAGCCGAATGGAAATAAAATTAGTTTGTTCTGTTGCAAATACGCCATCGCGTCCGATCGTGATCTAACTTATATCCATTTAACAATGATATAAAGGCAATTAAGTACGCCTATTTACAGCTGAGCAAATTGAGGGAAGACTAAGCAGAAGGTAGTTATTAGTATAATAAGGACGGACATATGCATAATAGGAAATTTGAAATTTGATTATAAAGTTCATTCACCAAACGAACCAAATTAACTCTGCATTATTAAAACACCTTTTAAGAGACGAATTTTTCGAAGTTCTTGATTACATAGATTCAATAATAAGTTAGTGTAGTGCAAAGGAGTTCAGGTTGGCGGAATTTTACTTCAATGCATATATGCCCTTAAACTTGGAGTAAATTCTTTTAGATGCATTGAACCAACAATTGAAAATAAGTAGCTCAATATACGTGAAATGATAATCGAATGGGTAGGTAGACTAAAAAATAGGATTACTGTATATAACGAATGCAAAACTAATAAAAAATGTTAAAGGTAAAAAATAATATGAAAGTCTTGAAATAAAATAAAAATAGAATATAAAATATTGCTAATAGTAGCAAAAATAATTAGTATAGAAAATTAAACTAACGATGTTTCCAGCGCTAAATCGCTTCAAGGAAATTTGGCTATGAAATGACAAAACGCTTAGACCAACTTTCGCTCAACATTATTTGAACTAATATTTAACTTATCTAAAATCATATATTGTGCGAAATATAGTTAATTTAGATAATCTCAAGATATCAAATTGGAGGGGGTTTGTCTAGCCCCTATAAACTAAACGAACTGAAAAATAAAATAAAAACTAAAGATTTGCATATATTATAAATTTATCGACTGATTTATAATTGCGAAAAAAGTGCAGATAATACGGAATTTTGGGTATGACCAGAATGTTTTCACACTTCATACCTTTAAATTAATTTAAATTTGTGTTACATGTTTATTTTTGTTCCCTAATGATTTGTGAGAGTAGACCAGATTAGTTCACCTTTTTCTTCTCATAATCAAAATTTTTACCAGTTCTATGTTTGGTGTCCTGGAAGTCAAGGGAAGAACGTCTCAAAGTTGAGTTGATTTTAGTAGTCTTTGGCTCTATATCATCCAGCATAGATGGTTTCCCTCTGAGTCTGTCCTTCCAGGATAGACATTGCCAGAGAAAGACGTCATTCTTGGATAAGATTATATGGAAAGCGCTATATTAAAAGTCTACGGAAGACGGAAACTACCAAGCCACCGAACAATCTGATGGTAAATTCAAACCGAAATTAGGTTTCTTAGAGGATTTTGGAATTTAAGCCAATCCAACTTGGCTCGGGGCTTTTATTTAGCTTTGCTTTCTCTATACCGATATTTTTCACTTGACCGAAGGGATCTTAGATAAAATTAATCACGTTGAGAAGACTACTAAGTACACATAGAAAAATTTTCCCAATACAAATAATTTTTCCCAAAATTTAGATAAAACTTCGCCCAAATTTTAGCTATCATAAATTTTTCATTTGAAATGACTGGCAACATTACATAGTGTTCGTAATTGGTTTCCTGAACAGATTTCTCCTCACATCATCAGATGCTCATTGAAGCTCCTGGTGAGAAATTGGTATTCAGCTTGCTTGATATAATGTTTTCGGATAAAGCTTAAGTTGCTCAAGAGGAATGTGAAAGTAGGTTTGTGCTCGTATTATTTCATCTTGTATTTTGTGTAAATGATGGCTCCGACGGATTTGTAGTATATTTCAGCCTTAAAAATAAGTAAGCTTATTTTAAAGCTTTTATGGTTGTGCACCTTTGGTCGTTAGAGGCCAAAGAAGTAGTCTTCGCCCAGAGTATTCTGATTTTAAAAATGCTGTATTTGACCTTTTCTACAACTTGATAGGCGTCTTGGAGGCAATAAAGTATTTATAAGCACAGGTGACAGTTGTTGGCCACATCTCGATTATTATATTGTTAAGGCCTTTGGCTTATTCTTAGTGAGACATCAGTTATTTGATTAATTGATTTATCGATATATTCTGCCTTTTTGATAAGGAGTCCTTGAGAGGAGTGTCTAGCTCTAGACGTGTCTGATTGTAGCAATTAAGCGTGACTCTATTGTGATTACTGACTTTCATGAGGCGAAACATCGCTATTCATAATATGCCATAACAAAGTGTGTATACGGATTTCTCCCAAGCTTTACGGATTTCTAGGATTAAGACCAACTAAATTAGGCTTCGTTATGTTTGATGGTTCACTCTATTTTCTAAATCTTTGATAATACCAATTAATCAAAGATTAACAAGCGATTTTAATTCAGCATCCTACACACAATTTCTTTTAATAAATACTCTTTATTTTCACCGATTTCATGAGATTACGACAAATTTGCATTTAACGGTGTGTGAATTTTCCTGCCTTATTTATTGTTCTTTATTGTCCATATCCGTAGCTAATTCCGATCTCAACACGGATAAACCTGTGCGAGCCTATTCTAGTAAATCCTTTGATGTGAGTTATCAAGGGACATCCATCAAAAAACTTTGAATGTCATCTTGCCTTTTAGCTCGATTTAGCTAAAGGTCTGTGCTCAATAAGTGTATGACGAAGCTCATGACATCTAGAAGTTTGCGATTAAAATGATTTTGGCTTAGAATTGCTACTAATTTGTACTTTGTACTGAGCAAGCGCGTAGTTTGCTTATCAAGTAATAGTAAAAGGCGAGTTACTTTTCTCAAAAAATCTCTCCTGTAGCAACATGACGTGTAGCATTATTACTCGAAACATTTGATAAAATGACCAATTCTTATGTGAGTTACGGTCGAATACTATATCTTTATTTTATCTTCCTAGAAA